TAGTGGCTTCATCGTCGTCGCCGCGCCAGTACTAATTAACCCACAACTGCCGCCCATCGAGTCTCCTCCTACGCCGCCGAGAATGCCGTTTTTACAGCGGTTTCCAGATCTAGGATTTGCCCACCAACGCATGGGACGAGGGAAAGAGAGACAAACAGATAGAACCATAGCGGATGAGGAGAAACGGGAGACGGATCTGGAGAGATTGGCCGAGGAAGGAGTATCACATCTGGTTCTTCTAGCTATTGTGGAAGTAGATTCTTCCACTCCCCGCTGGTGCTCTCACAAGCCATCACCTCTGATTCCTCCTCGAAGAACGACCTTAGGTCGCCATTCTACTTACCCGTCGCTCACTTGCGGTCGACTTCAACAGAGGAAATGGTGTTCACGAAGAAGACAGGGAAGTTCACTATTTTTGTTGTCACAAAAGGGGAAGGAGAAAGTGACTGTCTTCTTTTATTTTTTTTATATTTTTAAATTTAATTATAAGAAAGATGAGAACATTTCCAACATGGTAAATCCATGTGGATATTTACAGACAAAATTGTAGATATGAGCTTGCCATGTCAATATTTCTGTTTGTCCAGTTAGACTTAACACTAACACCATTAAAGAATTGGACGGAAGTGGCTATAAGTGGTATTTCTTCAAAATTGTCTATTATTGTCATAAACGTGAAAGTTTTGGCTATACAAGTGTATTTTGCCTAATTTAAAAGAAGCAACTTGGATGGTGGATTTGTTTCTTAATCAAAGTGGAGTGGCAAGGGTTAACCCTAAACCTGAATATGTAAGAAGTTCCATTTAACGCAATAGAAACCTCTCTCAGTGCATGCCAAAATCCAATAGTATCACAAGGCATAACACAACTAGTATGAAACAGACCACAATGTTGATAGAAACCCATCCGTGGGGCGGGGCGAGTGAGATCGAGTGTGGCTGGGTTAGGGTGGCATTAATGTTAATTTCATGTTATTTTTCAAAAACACTATTTAATTAAGTGGTTATAATAAATCGTAATAAAACGAATACGAAAAATACAAGACACGATTTTACGTGGTATCCCTGACGATTTATCAGGACTAATCCATGAGAGAGTTGAACCTCTCCAGCTGTAGCTTTTATTATTTAGAACTTAGTAGCTTGGCCGAACGGCCTACAAGTGCCTTATATAGGCAATCATCAACTTGGTTTCTACTAGGACAAATACAAGAAGGACAAGGTTTAGGGCAGCTTGTTTCATGCGGCAGTGAGCATCCCATCACAAGAGCACAGGTTGGCTTGGGCTGTTGGTCACGATCCAATACGCCCCAACAAGCTGAGCGGTGAAGATCACGAACGTTCAGCTTGGACAGGAGAAACCGAAAATGATCAGCGCCTAACCCTTTGGTAAAAAGGTCAGCTAGCTGAAGATGAGAACTGATCTTGATCTTGAGAGGGTGAACGTCACCAGAAACAACTCTCTCTCTCTCGCACAAAATAACAATCCATCTCGACATGCTTTGTCCGCTCATGAAAGACCGGATTAGCAGCTATATGCAGTGCTGCCTGATTATCACAGTATAGAGGGGTAGGACGAAGCCGGGGAACACCGAGCTCGTGTAGCAACCATCGTAACCAGAGAAGTTCACTGACAGTACTAGCCATAGCGCGATATTCAACCTCAGTAGAGGAACACGCTACCACCTTTTGTTGTTTTGTACGTCAAGAAACTGGAGCTGAACCAAGGGATATAAAAAAATATGTGGTTGATCGACGAGTTGATTGGCAACCCCCCCCCCCCCAATTTGCATCACAATGTGCGACAAGCTCAAGATTATTATGAGCAGGAAAATATAGACCTTGGCCTGGTGAAGTCTTCAGGTACCGCAGGATGCGCATCCCAGCATCCATATGGGCCTGCGTAGGTGCATGACCAAAGAGACTAAGGATATTCACACCATATGTGATATCCGGACGAGAGACAATCAGATAAAGTAAACGTCCAATCAACCGCCGATAAGCCGAGCCATCAACAAGAGTAGCAGATGCGGGCTTGGTGAGCTGGTGATTCTGCTCCATCGAAAAAACACTAGGACGAGAACCAAGGACACCTACTTCGGCGAGAATGTCAAGAACGTATTTCCGCTGACTGATGACAATACCTCGAGGAGAACGAGCCACCTCAAGACCCAAAAAGTAACGTAAAACTCCGAGATCCTTGATGCTGAATTTTTTATCAAGAAACTGCTTAGCATGATTAATGAAGTCCAATTCATTCCCAGCAAGAATCACATCATCCACGTATATAAGAGCAGTGACAAACACATCTCCCTTTTTATAAATAAAGAGAGAGTGGTCAGCTGGTGAAGCACGAAAGCCAAGATCGCCAAGAGATGTCTTGAATTTTTTATACCAATTTCGCGATGCCTGACGAAGTCCATAAATGGACTTGTATAGTCTGCAGACACGAGCATCACCATCAACACCAAAACCAGGAGGGAACTTCAGGTAAACTTCCTCGGTCACATCACCATGGAGGAAAGCATTGTTGACGTCGAGTTGATGAAGAAACCAACCACGACTAGCAGCAACTGCTAGAAGGCACCAGACTGTAACCAGTTTAGCAACTGGGGAAAAAGTATCATGAAAATCGACGCCCTCGATTTGGGTATCACCCTTAGCAACCAACCGAGCTTTGTAACGCTCGACCGAACCATCGGGACGATACTTAACCTTGAAAACCCACTTAGAATCAATGCAGCGCTTCCCGGGAGGAAGATGAACAAGTTCCCACGTGCCATTGTCCTTGAGTGCTGCAATCTCCTTGGCCATGGCCTCTCGCCAATGAGCATAGCGTATTGCTTCCTTGAAAGTCCGCTGCTCAGGTATACGATCCACAGAGGCCAAAAAAGCTGGATACGAAGGGGTGGCTCGATCATAAGAGACTTGATGGGAAAGAGGGTATCTCACGTGGGAAGCCGACGTGAGGTCAGTTTCGTAGATGTTAAGCTTGCGTGGAGGATGACGTTCCCGCAAGCCACGACGTAGTGGGGGATCAGTGGCATGATTAACCGAAGAATCTGAAGGCTGATGTGATGAAGACGAAGGTGAGGCGCCCCCATGATGCGGAGGGCTTGACTGAGGGTCCGGTGAGACAGCATCTGGCTCGACATGGACTGGAGACTCCGACGAGGGAGATGATGAGGAAGTTTGATCGAGAATCTGATCACCAGAGCCACCATCGACTGACGTTGAAAGATCAGCAGCTCGTACATAGTCATCGCACAGCTCCAAGATCGCGGGAGGCGGTAACCAGTGAAACTCGCGAGAGTCCTGTGCACGGAATGGAAAAACATTCTCATGAAAAACTATATCACGTGAAACTTGAATCTTACGTATAAGTAAATCATACATTTTGTATCCCTTTTGTGTAGCAGCGTAGCCCAAAAATACGCCTGCACGACCATGATCGGCGAACTTATGAAGACCTCCATGGGTGTCCTTTGCGTACACAAGGAAACCGAACACACAGAGATGTGAGTAAGATGCCGGTTTGCCAAAGAGGAGCTCGTATGGAGTTTTGTCACTCAAAAGCCTCTAAAAAGTGGAGATGTGAAAGAAATATGGGAAGCCTTCCCTAAAATACGATCGTAATTTGCAAAATACCCCCCGGTAATTTTCAAAATACTACCAGTATTTTTCCATACGCGACCGTGGATTTCTGCTCATCGACTTAATTTGCAAAAACTCGGGCATGGAAGAATTACGACCATATTTTTGCCCGTATTTCGCACAAAATCGGGTTGAAGAGCTAGATTCGAGCCCAAGGAAGGGGATTCGACTTTTTGTAGCAAAAATAGAGTTCTAGAGAGAGAAAGAACGAAGAACAAACCCTAGGAGCTATTTTGGAGTGGATTTCTTACCATTGAAGCCCAGATTGCATCCAGGTGTGCAGATTGACATCCCAAAACATATTATTCGAATCTTTATGAGTATGACTGCTTTTATTTCTGTTTTCCTCTCTATCTCTATGGAGTAGACCTTTCTCTCACTTGGGTATGAAGAACCCTAGTTCCATGTGTTCGGGATCTTGATTGTAATAACTTTTGGGATGATATCCTGATTGATTTTAATTGATTGAAGTGTGTTTATTGAGTCAATTGAATCCTGATCAACTTCTCTTGATTTATGTTTTCAGCCTGTGATAGATAGAATCTGAATAAGTTGTTAGAGTTTCTTCAATCGATAGGAGTGAATTGATTGTACGAGAGTCAGTCAATTCACTGCTTTGTATTGGAATATGCTTCCAGTTGTGAAGTTTTGTGTTAATTGCCTTAGCATTCTATCTTGGTGAAGACTTTTCGTCTGCCGGTTAATCTGTCTGAGAGGGCTTGGTCAGCTTAAGAGATTCCAAGCTACTGTCGGATCTTCCGCAGTTTAATCAACAGTGAATCAACCAAAGGAAATTACAACTTGAACCTAACTAAGGAGTTGAGGGGACTCATTCCCGAGTGACTCTTCTCTTGCTTCAGAAAACCAGACAATTTACTTCTTTCTTTTTTAGTTTTAATTCACCTTCACTCACTTAGTCCTGCTAGATAATAGAAGTTCACAGAGTAGGCAATAGATCTAGACTCCGAGTTGATAAATTAAACTTACACACTATTCTGCATTTACGGACTGCAATTATACTTGGTCGTAGTTTGATGTTGTATTTTAGCGAGTCAATATGCTATTGATGCTTCGACTCAGATTTCATATTCCTTCTTGGTTGCAACTTGCAATGTACTAATTAAGTATAGCATCGATGATGTTTACCTTATGTTTAACTAGGAGTGATTGGTAACTCCAGCCTGCTAACCACAATAAACTTATCATATGGTTGGTTTAGCACACCAATTTTTGTTGTTTTGATACACAATAGTTAGACCGCATATCCATTAATGGATAATACAAACGTACAAAACAAGTGTAAGAAAATGTTATTAAAAAAACACACACACAAGGCTCAAGTACAGAAAATTCAAAGCCCAAAAGAAAGGCCAAAACCATAAGAATCTGGATTACTACTCTCCCAAACAAACTCCAAACCAAAATGTAAATTACTAGCCCTAGATGAAAACCCAGGGGGAATTCACATGCATAAGTACTATTGTTGAGAAATCCACACATAAAATAATACAACCATCCATTTTTCAACACTCAATTGTCTTCATCCTCCTCCTCATCGTCTTCATCATCATCAACATCTTCATCCTCGTCCAAGGCGCTGAATTCTTTTAGAGCATTCCTCAATTTCACTATTTTAGCTTTTGCTATTCCAAGTTGCTCAATTTTCACTTTCACCTTATTGGTCTGCTTTTTAATCTGCCTGTCCTTCTTCTTGATCATTTTCTCTTTTTGGTCGATCAATTTCTTATCAGCTTCCAACTTCGTTACCTGATCAACAATCTCTTTATCTTTCTCCTTAACCTCCTCTTCTTTGTTCTTTAGTTCTTCCTTCATCTTACCAATCTCCTCATCTAGTTTCTTCTTCATCGCCTCTTCCGCCTCGATCATGTGCTTGTTTTTCGCCTCGAGCTCCGCATCTTTCTTGGTCATCTCCTCATCTTTGGCATTGAGTTCCTCTATCTTCTGTTCTAGTTGTTGACCCATGGCATCTCTCTCTTTGCGTGCTTCGTCTAGTTGTTTTTTCATTTGTACCTTTTCTATCAGTAGGGTACTCACAATGTCATCAAGCATGACTGGTTCTTGCGTTGGTGCCATGGAATTAGATGATTGTTGAGCTATCAGCTTTGCAAGCTCCTCGCTTTGCTTTTGTATGGCTTTGTCCCTATCATTTATTACTTTCTTCAACTCTGAAATTGCTTCGTCTTTTTGCTTTGATTCTTGCTCCATGAAATCTATCTTCTCTTGCATTATATTGTTGGTTGATTTCTCATCCTTCACAAGGTCTGCAGTTACCATTATAAAAAAAAAAATCGAGAATTCGTTAAACTATATTCATAGGGTACCATTATAAAATTTTACAGTGCATGATATTTGGGATGTGAAGTACAAGATCCCATCAGAAATTATCTACATTATTCATTGATAAAAACATATTTATTATTGAGTTTCTGCCATAAAGAGTATATAGATAATAGATATTACCATAAATTGCAAAGACTACGACAGCTAGCTGATTAAACAAATGAAAAGGAGCAAGATCTAACAATGTTACTATGCATAATTTGTTTTGTTTGACAGTGGAGGGGGCAGATTGCTAGTCTCATCAATAATATATCAGTAATATATATTTTCCAAATGAAAAATTATATATTCTGTTTTTTAGATAAAAATTTATGAACTCCAGCACACGTAAATTATTTACTGAAGCTTTGTTATTATATTTAAATAAATTACAGAAAATGTATCTTAATTGCGTTATTGTGTTTATGAATGAAAATTCAATAGCTGTACATTTGTTTGTACGGTAACCTAGAGATTGATTTATGTGTTGAAGCTATTGCAAAAGAAAGAAATAATTTAGGTAAATGAGGTCATTTCAACGGTTGGTCCTAGAGATAATATAAAGATAATAAAATTTACCACATGTAAGTTGGAATTTTGCATCCAAAACAAAGTTTTAATCTTTCTATAAAATAATTGCACAAGTAAAAATGTAGAATACTCACCGATCTTCAGCGAAATAGCTATTTTGACATCCTTAGAATTCGTCACAATTTCTTCAACCAATAATCCTCCCGATAACCCCTCTGCTGTTGGCAGCGTCGTTACTATCGGCGATACAGTAGGGCGCGACCCTTGATTTTTCATCGCTGCAATCTCATCGTCTTTCTTGTTGATAACAACTATTAACTCCTCTATCTTCCCTTCCTTGGCATCCAACTCGTGATTTTTCTCGGCAATTTCTGCCTCCCGCTCCTTAATAATTGCTTCCAGCCCCTCAATCTTTTTATTTTTTTCTTCTAGATCCTGAACTTTCTGAGCATCATCTTTCTCACCCTTGTTGATAATTGCTTCCAACTCCTGGACTTTTTGGGCAGCATCTTCCTTACACTTTTTAACAAGGGCTTCCAGCTCCTCAATCTTATTATTCTTTTCTTCCAGCTCCTCAATCTTTTGGGCAGCTTCTTTTTCACCATCCTTGATGATTGCCTCCAGCTCCTCTATCTTATTATTCTTTGCTTGCAGCTCCTGTTTATACCTGTTAGCTTCTTCCTCATCCTTTATAATAATTGCTTCCAGGTCCTTTATCTTTTCATCCTTTGATTCCAGCTCCTCATTTTTCTCCGCCATATCTTCCACGTACTTATCGATAATTGCTGCCAACTCAACGATCTTGCTCCTTGATTCAGCCAGATCCTCATTCCTCTCGCGAATCTCATCGTCCTTCTTCGCAATCTCATCCTCACACCTCTTCAAACGGACGTTTAACTCCTCGATCTTATTTTTCGCTGCATCGAGGTCCTGAGCCCCCTTGCGAATCTCCTCCTCTTTCTTCTTCATCTCCTCGTCCTTATCGTGTACCGCCTTGTTTTGGGCTTCCAGATCCTTGCTTCTCGCGTCGATCTCCTTGTCTTTCGCAGCGATCTCGTTGCGTTGCTTGTTGATCAGTTGGTCCTTTTTGGCTATCTCCTCCTTTGCCTTCTTCAGCTCCTCCGTCAGCTCTCCAACCTTCTTCGTGTCGTCGCTGACGCTCGGAGGAGTAGGACCGCTACTGCTGCTGCTGGCGGCAGGCTCTTCCTTGAACCACTGCCATCCGAAACCGCTGGCGTTCTTGGCGCCCTGCAGCTCACCGGTTTTGGTGTACTGACAAACGATCTGGACGCCGGCGAAGTTGGCCAGCCGATGCCCTTTCTCAAAGGATTTGTAGAGCTTCACCAATGTGTCGCCGCTGATGACGTTGCCTTTAACGTCTAACGCCGTGTATTCGGTGCCTTCGCCGTTGGGATGGATCTTCTCCACCAGCCGCCAGTCTCGGTAAGGGTACAATACTGCTCGATTACAGTGCTGGCCCTGCGAATCCATTACATGGATGGTGTTGAGCTCGCCGCCGGCGCAAGCGAAAAGGGAGCTGTTTGAATATAGAGGATAGATCTTCATACTTGTTACCCTTTCTAGTTGGAATTGATAAGAGGGAAGATTGATATTTCAAGGGCTCCTGAAAAATGGTGTAATCAACTGGGCTCTTTGATTTAATTTGTGGTAGCACTGGGAATCGGCCTGGTCTTAATTTATATCCGACGCCGGGTTTGAGTAAAAAATTTCTTTATTTCATATTTGTGAAAAAGGGAAAACAGAAGTATATGGAACGCTCCCAGTTTTGTTTCTTCTTTTCTGAAAGACAAGTGGAGTGGACGTTAATAATAATGTTAATCATCAAAGAATGCCTTCCTTTGTGATTAAAGAATACTTTGAATGGTGGTTGTACATTCTTAATTGTTTAGGGGTGATGGGTTCAATAACAACATTCTTGATTAAAGAAAGACCTCTTCAATAAAGAAAACATATTAAGATGACCAAATTGCTCATCCGTAACTAATTTTTTTTTATTGGACAACAGGATTAATATTAGTGATTAAAGATCGTCAAGTTGGTATCGGTGGTTCACTGGTTTGAATTAACTTGCTAAATAATGCATTCATAATTTTTAAATGCCAGCATGTAATAATTTAAAAGAAACAACTTGGATGGGTGGTGGATTTGTTTCGAGAATTAAATAGTGAAAGTGAAAAGTGGTTTGCTCATGGATGCACGAAATAGTTTGTTATTTTCGTTTAAGTTTATAATCATTATTATTTCAGTACTTTTTGGGATTTCTCGGGATATGAGTTTATAAGGGAATGCTTGGGATGTTTGATAATTAAGGTAGTTGTTGTTTTGTAATCGTGACTATTAGGTAAAGCAAACCGTTTTGATCAATAATCTTATGGTTAATACATGCATATTCTGTCACATTATCATTTATGAAATACCGGAACGCGTTAGGATGATTACTCAAAATTGAGTAATCACCATGGCTACTAAAATCTAGACCCTTCATTATCTATATTTTATTCTAATTTTAAATTGACGGTGAAGATTAGATTAAGGGTAATTTTGAGAATAAAAAAAATACCACACCTGATTTCTATCCTTTAAAAAATTAATTTCTATATATTATACCTAAACCTACTCCAACCCTATTCTATATCGCCGTCAACACCTATCCTGCCTCTGCCCTCCCACTGCCGGCAGCCACCCTCCCTCCGGCTACCCTCCCCACCTTTGCGGGCAACCCCTCTCTCTCTCTCTCCCTCCCTCCCTCCCTCCCTCCCTCCCTCTCTCTCTCTCTCTCTCTCACGAGATGGCGGTTGGAGGGGTTAGATGGTGATGCCGTGCCGGCAATATGCTCCGGCCCTAGGTCAGCCTTCCCCCTCCCTCTCTCTCTATATTTGCTCTGGCCATTCCGCACTCTTGCTTGTGCGAGTTGGGGGATTGGTATGTATTTTTGGGATTGGTATATATATATATTTTGGTATTGTTTTGTTTTGGTATTGATTTTGTCGCATTGGTATTATTTTTGTCGCAATGGTATTATTTTTATTGTATTGGTATTGATTTTGTCGCAATGGTATTATTATTGTCGCAATGGTATTGTTTTTGTAGCATTGGTATTATTTTTGTCGCAATGGTATTGTTTTTATCGCATTGGTATTGATTTTGTCGCAATGGTATTATTTTTGTCGCATTGGTATTGGTGTTTTTGTGGAACGGTAGTGTTTTCATTTCTCGAATGGCATTGGTGTTTTGTGCAATGGTAGTGTTTTGTAATGGATTGGTATCGATTTTGTCGCATTGGTAGTGATTAAATCTAAGATGGTATTGATGTTTTGTGAAATGGTAGTGTTTTTATTTCTTGAATGGTAGTTTTCGTGTAATGGTATAAATTTATTTCTGCAATGGTAGTTTTCGTGTAATGGTATAGATTTATTTCTGCAATGGTATTGATATTTTTCAAAGTGGTAGTGTTTGTCTAATGGATTGGTACTGATTTCGTTTTTTTTTTTTTTTTTTGCAGAAAGATTGAGAAAAATATGGAAAGAAAATCTGGCTGGAGATTACGGAAGTGAGAGAAAGAGAGATTTTTAATTAATAGATTTTTGTAACTACCTTAAATGTAATTTATTAAAAAATTAATTAATATGATTTATTTTTCCATACCCAATTTACCCTTAGTAACCACGGTGATTACTACAAAGTAGTAATCACCGTAACCTGTCCCTGAAATACCTCTATTCTTTTTTCGTATAACATTTTAATGGACTATATTTGTTTGATTTTTAGTTGTAAATTTTTTTTTACACAGATAAATCAGATTAAGTTTGATTTTCAAAATGATACTTACTTTGATATATTTTTTAAACAAAAAAATTGAGACATTTAACACCATTCTATATCATGGTGGTAATGTTTGGTACTACATAAGATCATACCGTAAAGTGGTATCAAAGTGTACCATGATGGCATGAACATACCAGAAATAGAGTGTATAATTGTTGAATACGTGATAGTAGTAATATACGAACTGTCATTTACCACACTCATCATTGTGTACCACGAGTTATCACACCTATACCAAGGTAGTATGAAGTGGTACATTTTGATCCTATATTTTTTCAAAGATTCGTAGATCCAATAAATTACGAAGAAATCATTCCATCTTTGCAAAAAAAAATTCAAAATTCGTGTTAAAAATGCAAATGGTACCAAGGTGGTAACAAATGATATGAGTAGTATGTAATACAAATGATCTCATTTTGTAGATCATTACAAGACATTTGGAGCAGGAATCCCCATTATATTGTACGATTTGGACTCAAGTCTAAGAGTTCGTACTCGTGCACGTTTGGTCATTATGACACAAATTAATTGTTTATGTGTTTATATGACTAAACAAATCAACAAATCACATGTCCATCAACATTAGAAAACATTTTGAGAATGGATCCCCCTTATTGTACAATTTAGACTCGATACTAAGAGTTCGTACTCGTGCATGTTTTGTCATTAAGACACAATTAAGTCATTTTTGTGTTTATATGACTAAACCAATCAATGGATCACTTGTCAATCAAAATTACAAGACATTCCCCTTTAGTGTACAATTTGAACTCGATAACAATAGTCAATGCTCATCCACGTTTGGTCATTATGACACAATTAAGTAGTTTATGTGTTTATATGAATAAACCAATCAATGAATCACATGTCCATCAACATTACAAGACATTTGGAGCAGGAATCCACCTTATTATACAATTTAGACTCGGTACTAAGAGTTCGTACTCATGCACTTTTGGTCATTATGATACAAATAGGTTGTTTATGTGTTTATATGAATAAACCAATCAATGAATCACATGTCCATCAACGGTACAATACATTTGGAGCATGGATACCCTATATTGTACGATATAGACTTGGTACTAAGAGTTCGTACTCGTGCACGTTTGGTCATTATGACATAATTAAGTGTTTTATTTGTTTATATGACTAAACCAATATTTGAATCACATGTCAATCATCATTTAATGACATTTGGAGCACAAATCCGCTTTACAGTACAATTTGGACTCGGTACTAAGAGTTCATACTCGTGCACGTTTGGTCAGTATGACACAATAAAGTGGTTTATGTGTTTCTATTACTAAACAAATCATTGAATCACATGTTCATGAACATTACAAGACATTTGGAGCACAAATTCTCCTTATTGTACCGTTTGGACTCGGTACTAAAAGGTCGTAAAACCACACAATTTAGCTTTTTATTTGTTTTTATGACTAAACCAATCAATGAATCACATTTCCATTAACTGTAAAAGACATTTGGATCATGAATGATTGAATTCCCCTTATTGTACCATTTGGAGTTGGTAGTAAGATTTCGTACTCGCACACATTTAATCATTGCAACACAATATAGTTATTTATGTATTTATATGACTAAAGGAATCAATGAATCACATGTCCATGAACATTACAAGACATTTAGAGCCTGAATTCCCCTTATTGTATCATTTGAACTCGGTACTAAGAGGTCGTATTACAACACAATTTAGCTTTTTATGTGTTTATATGACTTAACCAATCAATGAACCACATGTACATGAACTGTACACAAAACTTGGATCCCGAATTCCCCTTATTGTACCATTTGGAGTCGGTACTGAGATTTCGGACTCACGCACATTTTGTCATTACAGCACAATATATATGTTTATGTGTTTATATGACTAGACCAATCAATGTGTAAAATGCCCATTAACAATACAAGACATTTTGGAGCACGAATCCCTCTTATTGTACAATTTGGACTCAGTACTAAGAGTTCGTACTCACGCACATTTGTCGTTATTAAACAATTTAGTGGTTTAAGTGTTTATATGACTAAATCAATCAATGAATCATATGTCCATCAACATTACTAGACATTTGGAGCACGAATCCTCTTATTATACTATTTGGACTGGGTACTAAGAGTTCGCACTCGTGCACCTTTGGTTAGTATGACACAATTAACCAGTTTATGTGTTTATACGACACAATTTAAGCGGTTTATGCGTTTAAATGATTAAACCAATCAATTAATCACATGTCCATCAAGACTACAAGAAATTTGGAGAACGAATTCTCCTTATTGTGCATTTTTTGACTCGATACTAAGAGTTGGTACGTACGCACATTTTGTCATTACAGCACAATTTAGTTGTTTACATGTTTATATGACTAAACGAATCAATGAATCACATGTCCATGAACATTACATGACAATTGGAGCACGAATCCTCCTTATTGTACAGTTTGGATTTGTTACTAAGAGGTAGTATTACAACACAATTTAGGAGTATATGTGTTTATATGACTAAACCAATCAATGAATCACATGTCCATGAACTGTAAACAAAATTTGGAGCACGAATTCCCCTTATTGTACCATTTGGAGTCAGTACTAAGATTTCGTACTCACGCACATTTTGTCATTACAACACAATATATATGGCTGTGTTTATATGACTAAACCAAGCAATGAGCGAAATGTCCATTAACATTACAAGAAAT